TGAGAATTTTGACACTTTAAATGATTAAATTGTCATTTATATATTTTAAAAAAATTTTATTATATTTTTTTATTATTATTATTTGGTAAATAAGGTTATTTGGGGAATGTTAAGGGAGGCCTGTTGGCTAAGACAAAGTATTGATTAAAAAAAATGTATTGGTCCAATTAGCGCCCCATTCCAACCCATTTCTTTTTTATTCAATTAACTAGACCCACAAAAAAAAAAAAAAACAAAGAACAAGAGGAATACGCTACATGTGTTGCATAAAAATTATAAAAATCAAGGGGGGAAAAACTAAAATGAGACCAAGTCCTCTTTTTGTCACACACAATTTGAGTTTTGCTGCCAAAGGATATAGAAATTTTTAAACATAACGAAAATTATAATGTTAAAAATACAGTATTTGCCAAAAAAAAAAAAAACGAAAACGATTTGCCCCACAGCAAATGGAATTAGCATGTATTCAAGCCCTGATATGATTCATTCTTTTAATCTTGAAATAAAAAATAAATAATTTTAATTTTTAATATTGAATTTATTAATGAACTATATTTTTATAAATATTTTGAGTTGTTTTTAATAGGGCTTGTGTAACTTCCCAAATTTTTACAGCTAAAATTTAAGTAATGTTAAGATATTTATTGAGTAATTTAAGGTTTAGAGCAACTTCTATATGTTTGAGCTGTAGAGGCATACAGGATTATGATTTAATGAAATAGAATATGAAATTAGAAAAAAAAATAGATTATGATAATTTGATTCTAATTATATTTTTAAAACATTTAAGTATTAGTCTATGAAGAAATTCAAAATTTAGGGTAGCAAGTATCAATATTAATTTGAATTTAATAGAATTATTTTATGGTAATTAAAATTTATCATCTAATTATTTGACTAAAAATAACTTTACTTGTAAGAGGTTATATATTTTAAATAGAGATTAAATAAAAATATGTAAATTATGTCTCCTTAAAAAATAGTATTCTAATTATATAAATATTAAATAAATTTTTTGAACGAAATATAACAGAGTTTAATTTTTCAAGATGTTAAGAAAGTTTTAAAATAAAAAATATAATTTAAAAAAACACATACATATATATATATAAATTAATTTTTAAAAGTTGTTATTTAAAAGAATATAAAAAGAATAAAAAAGAGGATTAATATAATTTGGATCCTAAACTATATGTTCAAGGTAACTTGAATTTTAAACTTTTATAATGTACATGAATCCCAAATAATTAAAGTTAGCATAATTTTACTTTTATCATTAAATTAAACTGAATGTCTGTTATTTTTCAAAAGGGGGAGTCAATATGCAATTTTCATTAAATTTCATTCCTTTTCTTTTACCTTAATAGTATATTAGACTCCATTTTTTTAAAAGGATCTTTGCTTTAATTTAACAGTGGAGATAAAATTGTATCAATTTTAATTATTTAAAATTTAAAATGTATATTATAAAAATTTAAAATTTAAATTTTTATTTAACTTATAATTCAAAATCCAAATAAAAAGGCAGGTCATGTGGGCGCTGCCTACTTTGTTTTTCTTTTCAATCAAATATATATTACCCACACCCGACCAGCCACAAAAACCTGTCCTTCCACCTGCGCGCGCGATGCGAGACCGTGAGCGAGTTAACAGGGCAAGAGGACATTGGAGATAGTCATAGGGTCGAAAATAAAGGCATTTTGGTCAAGCTTAAAGGTTTTATTTAAATAAAAATTTAAATTTTAAAAATTATTTTTTTTTAAGTAACAGGATTTGAGGATCTAACTTTAATAAGTTTAGTAAAAAAGAGCTCGGACCCGGACAACACTTCAAGCCTTATTATATTATTATTAATCTTTTTTTTGTAGAATATACGTTTGAAGCTAAAAAGGACCTACTCGTCTGAAACCCTGATCCTACACGCGTTACATTATTATTAATTTTAATTAATTTTAAAATTAATTTAATATAATTTATTAAATATCAATGTACAATATAAAATTTCTGATATATTTTATTTTTCTATAATTATTATGTTTGTGTATTTATAAAAAAATGAACTATTTTTAATCAAAATTTAAATTTTCTTACTAAACTTCTAAACATGTGTTGTTTAATTTCTAAAAGATTATGACGATTTTAATTATTTTAATTTTAAAATATTTTAATTAATTTAGAGTGCTTATTTTTATTTTAATTTTTTAAATTTTATTAGAACAGGATTTACAGGCCTAACCTTGAGCTCTTTAAATAAAGGCTAAGCCTCAAAAAGGGATAAAAAATAAAAAATCAAGCTTAAAGGTTGAGCCCACCCATTTTTCAGCTCTAAATAGCCAGTGTCTAGAAGTGAAAGATTTGAAAGTGAGGCATCACAATAGAATACTCTAAAGTCATTTTAAACATTCTACTATCATATAAGTTTTCTAAATATTTTTTTTTACTTATTTTCTTCTTTTAGTTTCTAATCTCTTGATGAGGAAAAATTTAGGACTTGATAAACTTCAAATGTTTGGATGATTTTATTAACTATTTAGATTGTCATGGAGTTAAGGATTTAGGAATTGAAGTTTGTATGATTTAGATTTATTGAAACAATTGATTTGATGGGTTAAAGTAAGGTGTTAATTGAGGAAATGATTAATTATGAATGTAGTGGTTTATTTCGAATTTAATGAATTGATTATGTTTATTGGAGGTTATATTGAGAATTAATTAATTTAATTTATTAGTTGAGGTAAGGATTCACAAAATAAATATTTTGGATAGAGTACTAAATGTAGAATATTTAAAATTTGAGACTTATGAGATTAATCCTGAATTTATGTGAGTAAAATTTTTTAAGATTCAAATTTTTAAGGTGATTTTGTAATGAGTTGAGGTTTATTTAAGAAACACTGAAGGTTAAAACTTAATGTATGAGATACCTGTTTATTTTAGTTATGCCTCATTTTTGTTAATTAATGTATATTTGCTAACTTAGGGCTCATTTTGTTTAATTAGAACATATTGACACTTGATTTTTATTATGCTTATTAAAACTACAACCAAGAGATTTGTGTCCAACACACATGGCCTCATTTGATTTGACCTCAAGTATTTAAATTATGTTTAGAAGATAAGATAATATTTTATTAAGCATGTTTATATAATTGTGTTGGGTAGCTATAATTTAGTTGTAGTTTTCTATTATATTTGGTTGAAATATTGATTGATATGTATTATTTATAATGATTGACATGTGATCACATTGTTCACCCTAAATGTTGACTTTGGTTTGTGAGCCATGATGTTAAATGTTTGGGAAAGAATGTTTGGGCTCTAAACGTGTGATGTAAATTAATTTTCTATTTGCAAAATATTGTGTATCAAACCAAAACCAAAATCTAAATTATGTGTATTATCTTGGATGAACACCTGAATCAATGAGTTAGGATATTTGTGGGGAAAAAAAAAAAGAAATAATCTTTCAGACTAAATTGCCCTTGAGAACTCTAATTTCATGTTGTATGTATTTAGTGTCAAATTTGAATTTCTAACCTTGTTTTGAAAATACAATCTCATGGAGTAGCTTTTTTTTTTTTTTTATTTTAGTAAACTAGTATTTATCATGATGAGCTTGTTTACTAAGATTTAATTCTTTTTATAATAGTAATCAGTTTCAAAATGATTTTACTTCAGATTTTTTTTAAACCATCGTAAGCTATTTAAAAATTAATTTAGTTTTTAATTGCGATGGTAAACTCTTTTTTACTATAATAAAATTTTAAAATAATATTTTTTTCATCTCAATAGAAATTGTTCTGCGATAGTAAGTGGTTTAAAAGTTAAGTATTTGGATATCACTTTATTTGTTGTAATAAATCAATTTAAAATTCAAGGGTTTTACAACTTGTTGATTACATATAATAGAATAAAATAAAAAATTAATTCATATCAAATAATAATATAATGTTTTTTATATATGTAAACACAAAATCCAGAGATCCATTTCTGTTGATGTATAATTTGCATGAGCTACTTTGTTTAGTTCTAATTTGGTACTGATCTTTTGGTTTTATAGCAGGTAACTCTTTAATAATTATCTTCCTATATTTAAATCGTTTAATAATACATAATTATGTATTTATAGAGTGAAAATTCTATATAATTACTTAATTCATCTATTTTTTTAAAAATATATTATATATAATGGAAAATAACCTAAAACAAAGAAATGAATACTCAATTTGTTTAAAATTACTTTTAATATGTTTTGCAATGTTTTTTCAGAAAGAATAAATTTTTAATTATTTTGAAAAATTACTTAGTAATTTAAGACACACTGAATAGAAAAGAATGTTCGTAAAAATATAGAAATAAAAAAATCATAAATTTAAAAACCACTAAATAATAAGTTATTTTTTATAAATAAAAACATAAAAAATATTATAAAATCTAAAATCACTTATTTTTAAAATTAAAAAAAAAAGGCTGCGAGGCCCAAAAGTGAAGCCTGAAGAGGAATATATGGGAATAATCCCTCTAAGGAAAAAGAGAAAAAAAAGAAGAGAAGAGAAAAGGAAAGAAACAAAGAGGTTGTACTTAGGAGAAATGATAAAAAATACCTCTAAAATATACAAATGATAGTTAAGTATCACATAATGTAATGATTATTATTTAATTCTTAGGGAGTTATATGGCATTTTTTTTGACAAAATGATGTATTCACCCTCAGTAATTATTATACATTGAAAAATGACTATTTTGATTAGATTATTAACTAAAACATTATAGAAAATAATTATTTTATGCATATTTATTTATCAATCAAATACAATTAAATTAGTCATTTTTAAAAAGGAAATATTTTCTATTCCATATATAATTCACAAATTTGTAAAAAGAAATCATTTTAATCAATATCAATTAAAGCAGTCATTTCCTAACATATGATAATGACTAATTTTTAGTATTTACAGTTAATTGATAAACAAAAATTGCAAAAAGAAAGCAATCTCTTTCTATTATGTTTTTATCAATAGCTCAATTACAGTAGTTATTTCGCACTGCATAACAACTGAAGGCAAACATGTCATTCCATCAAAAATTGAAATAACAAATAAATATTTAAAAACTAAATAATAATTATCACTTTTCCATACTTACTAATCATTTACATATTTTCAAAGTATTTTTTATCATTCTCCACCTATTTGAATTTATCCACAATTATTGTAACAAGCTACTGTGATCGCCTTTTAGGCTTTAGCCTTGTAGCTGCAAAACATACAAGGTGCAGAAAATGCAGTCACTGAAATTATTTGAGAAGTATAGGATAAGTAGGAACCGGAAATAGCAGAAGTGAAAACGCAGTCACTGAAATTTTAGTTATTCACGTTGCCCCCGTGCCCCCCCCCCCCCCCAAAAAAAAAAAAAATTTAACTCCTCTGGACCTTTTTTGCTTTAATAGTTATCTGACATTTGAATATTTGATACATGTTATATTCAATATTATCCGGTCTAAAATAAACAGAGCCCCTCTTACCACCAAAAAAAAAAAGAGCCCCCTCCAGGTAATTTTGTTTCATCCACAAAATTTGAACCTAAAAAAATAGCAAGAAATATCAGGTAACTTACAGTCCACAAATTAGTGAATTGCATAATGAGTTAAAAAATAACCAATTCATACTATTTAGCTTTCATATGATACGGCCTATAAATGAACAAATTGAATTTATTTATCCTATCACATTTACATAAAATTAGTCAATTAATGACCAATGATATTACCAGAAGACACCCATTACTCATGCTGATTTCCCATCAAATCCCATAATTGGAGATTTTCCCAATAAGCTTTACCTTATTAACGCCCAAGCTAACTTTGGAATGAGGTAAAAGGTTTTCAAGACTATATCTATTTATTTTAAATGGAATATGTATATTAAAAGTTTAACTAGTACACTAATGAAGCAAGTGGCATGTCATTTTATTTTTTCTGCACTTTCTTCTCGTTCTTGAACAATCTTTTGCATATAAATATGAAAAAGAAAAAATAACTTTAGATCCGTATACTTTGTTCACGTTTTACTAGAGGTCCTGCACTTTAAAAAAAAAGTACAGGGACTCAAAATTATGTTTTCCTTATAAATATCAATGTCAGTCATTTTCCAACTATAGAAAGTATAAAAAATGGCGGGAAGTTACATAACTCAGACTCAGACCTTCCACAAGTATTATTTAAAATATAAGTGTTAATAAATTTGACTACATTAGAGTGAATTACTAAAAGGCACCTAGTATGGTATATTGGCATATTCGATGCTATTTTATCCATGTTCTTAGATTCAAGACAAGCAAAAGCTCAGATGCTATATATAGTTATTATTATATATTAGCAGTATATACGTACATACATCAAATTGGAGATCAAGCTATATAAGCGCATTAGATACAGATACCTTGTAATATCTGCGTGTGATCAGCCAGCTAACACAATCAACTTCTTCAATGTTAGAAGGTTCACCTCCGTTTGCAACTGAATGACACCAGAATCTGCAGAATCTGCGGTCTTGTTAAATCCCAACACTGGTAAGCAGGCCCAGGAAGTTTTCAGAAGAGAAGCAGAGTGATACCATGATATTGATCTCAAATAATGTAATTTTCAACTGTCAACCCATTGAATTACCAGCAGCTTTGAGAAAGAAATAAACATTCATATCAAATAGATCAATATAGGCTCAGCAAATTGCAAGACTTACTGAATAGTGATGAAGTAAAACAGCTTTTCATTGGATGACAATGTAAACATCTCAGTCAATACGTCACAAATTCAGAGTTCTTATAAAGCATGACTTTCTAGCGCACAAATGTTTACAATCCCAAGAGAATTTCTCCTCTGACAAAAATTAATGATCAAGTAACCTCCAGCAGCTATTTGATCCTTCTTCTATGTGTCAAGTATACACTAACAAATGATTTCTAAAAGAATTCACTCAAAAGCATACACTAATATAAATAATATATATGAGTAGACTATGGCTCTAAACTCTAAAGCTATGTGTAAGCATAGACTTTGTGGAGGATGTAAGTGCGAGAGTGACAGCAGGTCATCAAGTAATTTATACAGGGATTGTGTACCAAGTCCTTGAAAAAAAAAAAAATGAAGTGGTAGTCAACCAAATGTCAAAGATGACATTGTGTACCAAAAAGGAGGGGACTCGCGGAGAATTATATGAGCACATTTTAAACTTGCACAGGCTTAAAACCAAACAGGCTAGCCAAAGCAATGTTGGCGGGAGTGAACGGGAAAAAAAAGTGAAGGGAAAATGACTGGCACTGTAAAAAAGAAAAAGGTTCTGCAACAGGCCCAAGCAATGTTCGATGCGCTGTCAAATTTTCCTCCATCCGCGTCCAATTCTTGGATATTACTCCTTTTAGTCCTATTTATAAGGTTCTACACATTGGTCTTCAATACAAGATCCCTTCCAACATTTAATGAACCAACTACAACTTATTTATAAAAATACCCTTGTCTCTTTTACTCGACTTAAATTATGACTCTTCCACCCCCCCCCCAAAAAAACTCAATGAATTAGACTAAGGAAATGATAAATTTGGAAAGCAGTAATAATTTATGACATTTAACTTACTTTAACTAATTTTTCTTGGATCTCATGAAAGTAGTTACTATAGCCATACGAAAGGGGGGAAAATTGGGGGGGGGGGAGGGGTGGGGGGTTCCCGCCAGGCACCTTGTAAATTTCCAGCTACAAGACCCAATATATAATTCTCTATCAACTTTTTAAGAAAATCAACCATTACTGAAAACAAAGTAAAAAATACAGGTCATAGAAAATTGTTTCTCTCTAAACAAAGCAAAGAAAACGTAGTTTCTGCAAACTAACCAGAGTAATAATTCTCAAGCTAAGCTCAAGGGGAGTAGGAAGGGCTGACAAGGAGTTCCAATGGCATCTTTGAGCAGCAAATGGGAAATCCCCAGCTCTACTTACAGTGAACATTGCCCTCGCTACTCTTGTGTCATCTCATCTGAAGGCTTGGCAATATCAACTTCAAGCAGGCAAGAACTAAACCAATTGGTCCCTCTCCTATCACATTGGATCCACATATTACATTGCATGGTGCAAAGCAGCATCACGTTGCAGCTCTCTGCATAATGAAAAGGCAACTAAAAATAGATACCAACTGTTGTGGTGCAAGTTCATAGTGGTCCAGGCTGAAGATAAGATCCCCAAATTGAGAGATGAAGCTTGCTTTCCTGAAGAAGAATAACATATGGGTAAGTGAAGATTTAACTTCAAATACTGATCATTTTCTCCCTCAGGAGTAAGACATTGCCATCAAGGAAAACCTTGCCACTTCAGCACCAGGACGAAGACATGAATCCAAATTCTGTTATTGGCTGCGGTTATGTGGTGCAAAACAGTCATGACTGGTACACATAAAAACATATGCATGATGATTTATTTTAGCATTTTCCTTACAAATGAAATTTTCCTTCTCATGCATTATAAACATATTGTCAACCATATCACAGTGACATGTAAACCTGCAAAGTATAACTACAAAGGAAATATGATTTAATTCTTCAAAAAAAGAAAAAACACTTCTTCACACTAAATTCAGAAATTAGGATGCAAGAGATATGATTTTTTTTTTTACAACAATGAGTGTTACAGTTATTGAACAGAACTTTGTAATTAATGATCTTATTATTTCAAATGGACCATCAATTAAAGAGAAAAATTTAGCACACTAGAATAAATAAATAATCAAACATGAGAAGAAAATGTGTGTCATATACCATCAAGATATCATGCAACCTTGGCTTCTACTCCACCACCTCACGGAAGAACCCTGTGAGTTATATCATCTGGTGAAATACCCTTTACTCTCATTTCACGATACAACCTATGCGCCTGATCTGCATATCCATGTTTACGGCACCAATCAATGAGAACAGTGTAAGTGACAACACTAGGAGTAACTGCTTTTCTGTTCATTTCATCAAACAGAAATGAGGCCATATCTATCCGGTTTAACTTGCAAAATCCATCTATCAAACACGTGTAGGTAAATACATCTGGCAAAAGGCCTTTCGTCAACATTTCTTGGAATACTACCCAGGCCCTTCTCATATGTCCAGTACGACAACAACCAGTTATTAAAGATGTAAACGAAATGTGATCTGGATTCAAACCATTTTCTATCATTTTCTTGTAAAAACCAAATGCTTCACGCATTCTGCCCAGTCGGCAAAGGTGTTAATAAGGACTGTATAAGTGATGGTGTTGGGAGTGACTCCAACTTTCAGCATTTTTGTGTATAACCATAAGGCCTTCTTCAGATTTGATTGTTTGGCAAAAGCATCTATGAGAGTTGTATAATTAACAACTCCTGGAAGTACATTCCTTTTCATCATTCTTGGAAGGAGCTCCCATGCCCTTTTTAAATGTCTTCCCTTGCACAGCCTGTAGATGACAGCATTATATGAACGTGAGTTTAGGTCAATTCCTTGGTCTTGGAATCTTTCCAGTAGTGTCAAGGCTTCCATGAAACGGCCTTCTCTACAGAGTCCACCAATAATAAAATTGCAAGTGATGGTATTTGGCAAGACACCGCCTTGAAGCATGGAATATAAAGCTTCCAATGCCTTGTCTAAGAGTCCCAGTTTGTAGAATCCTCCAATTATACTCTGGAAACCAAAAGAAGTAGGAGCCAGATCATTAGCAATCATCTCCTCCATAAGCTTTTTGGCTGAATCCATATCACCTCCACAGCAAAATCCATTGATTAAAGTTTCATAAGCAACATGATCAAATTTGCATCCAAAAGCACCAATGTTCCGAAACATAGACATTGAAACATCCATCAACTTACTCTTGCATAGACCATAGATAAGGGATGTGTAACTAATTATGGATGGTTCTAAATTATAGAGTTCCATTTCCTCAATCAAGTCAAGACCTTTTTCTATATCCCCTTTTTTGCAAAATGCATGGATTAACATACTGTAGCTGCAGACATCGGGCAATACGCCTAAGCTCCGCATTTCTTGCAAGACTTGCAAAGCTTCGTGAACTGCACCTCTTTGACAATATTCATAAATTACAGAGTTAAAACAATAGCTATTGAGAGGCTGGTTTCTATACCTACATTCACGAATAAATTGCAGCGCAGCAGCAACAGAACCAAGTTTACAAAGTCCACGAATATAAATACTATATGTGAAAACGGTTGGATTTTCCCCACTCCTAAATATTTCTTCAAAAATCCCAGTTGCTTGGTCAATATCTACAGCCTGCCCACAATCTCCTCTACAGTAGAAGCTCATCATAATTGTATAGGTGTAGATATTTGGTGATGGACCTGAGATTTTTAGCTCTTCATATAATTTTCCAACCAACTCCACCCTGTTTGTTTCTACCAAGCATTTCAACAAGAAATTGCATGAAAATACACCAGGTTCAAACCCCAAATGCTTAATTCTCATGAACACATCAAATGAATCATCAAGCATGGAATAGGATGCAAGTACTTTTATAAGCATGTCACACACAACAATTGATCGTTCCACATGCTGAGGTGAATCTAACAAAGTCAGAAACAATTTGAATGTATCGAACTTGGCCTTCCTATAGAATCCAACAATATCTTTGAGCAAAGCAAACACTTCCATACGCATTCCTGCCGAAGCATAAATGTGAATAATAATTTTGAAGGAAGTGATTGAATGAAAAAATCCATACAGCCTTACAGCTTTCCAGAACATTTTATCTTTTGCAAGTTCAGCCTCCCAATTTGAGGTTTTAATCACCGAGACAACTATAGGAAATAAACTACGCTTTCTTTGAAGAATTGAAGGTCTCACGCTGTTTCTTCCAAAATTGACCATTACATTGGCATAATCTACTCTAGGACTTACATCAAACACAGGGTCTTCCAACATCACTGCCGAAGAAGCAGCATAATACAATCTAAGTAACCGTTGTTTTGTAAGAGAGCACTTTGCTCTGGAGCAAGCGGACTCAACTCCATATCTTGTCGACATGGATATACAACCATCAATACACAATACACGGTACCATGGAAAAATGGAAAACTCTCCGCAACCAAAAGCAATTGCCGCGAGCTCTCCGCCCCAGCAGCCTAGTTTTGCTCTCAAGTTCCTATCTTTCAGAAATAGCCCGGAATCAATGGGTTGACGTATGTAAACAGTAAGCCCCGAAAGGATGTAGCTTGCCTCCAAAACTCGCCTTGACGGACATGTGCTTCGAGTCGGTGGGGGCAATTACAGTCACCGATAGTGTGGTTAGAAAGGAGACAGAGAAAGAGATGGACTGATAGAGACATGGATTTTGCAGAACCAAAAGCTTGTTACTCTAATGAAACGAAAGTTCAACCGGCGGCTTCAACTCTTCTGTGAGGCTCCCGGAGCCGAGCATTCGCAATGCAAGAGTCTCCCGAATAGCCGTACTGTACGGGGATGCAAAACTATTTAGAAGCTAAATTAGTTTCTGTATGTGTGTTTAGCCGATACAATAAACGTGTTTGGCCGTTTTATTGTATCACAAAGTTGGAGAACAATTTTATTTTATATTAATATAAATATGAAAATGTTTTTTATATGATTACAAATTATGATTTATACATAGTATAATTTAAGTTAAGGTATACTTTTAATAACTTTTAATTCTTTAACTTGAAACAAGATTTTGTTTTATCTCTTAATTTTATAAAATATCTTTTTAATTATTTAATTCTAACACATTTAGTTTTGTCATATAAACTTTTAAATGTTGATAAAATTTTCAAATGTTTTCTTATTAAATTTAATTTTTTAAAAGTAATAATGATTGGAAAAATCTATCATTTAAAACTAAGTGTTATGTTTACAGGAATGAAAAAATTTTATCAAGTTAAGGATCAAATTAAATATTATTTAAAGTTAGAATAAGAAGATCAAGTATATTTTAACCTCTAATTTATTACTCCCTTCGTTAAAAAATATAAGATATTTTTTGAGGAAGTTGAATATTAAAAAATATAAACATTTCAATCTTTGAAATGTAATCATTATTTTTAAAAAAAATTGCTTATAGATAATGATTTTATATTTATTTTAAAATGTTTAATAGGAATAAATATGAAAATATAGAATTAATAATTACTTTATTAGATGATAAAATTCAATCTAAAATGCCTTATATTTTTTGTATAAAAGGAGTATAGACTTATACTTAATGAAACATGCTTTGATATTTGAAGACGTAGCTTGGTCAGAAAAAAATTGAAGACGTAGAAAAATCTAACATCATCAATTAACCGTCTTCACTCTTGGTCATTTTATTTATACTTTTTTTCACCTGAGATCCTGAGCAATGAGCATGAGTTTAGCTCTCTATAATTTCTATCCATTTTCACTTTCGTTGATAACCAAGTAATCCTCGGTAATATGATTTCCATCCTCAGCATTGTATAAAAATTATACATGAATTGCTTAGATAAACCAGTGCATCCATCGGGGATCTTTAGTTTTGCAAGTATATCATTGTTTTTTTTACAGCTAACCTTCACAGTTTTGTAAGCTATGCCAAAGACGTTTATACGCATGAATTCATTGATTAATATTTATCACACAAACGAAAACAGATCAAAGAAACTTAATTTCCCCTCACTATGTCTTCACAGCAATTCTAAATCCTTCAAATCAAATTTAATGATACAAGCTAAATTTTTAGACCACCAAATCAACCCAACAGTCCACAATTGCATTAATTTCTCCACTCAGCAATTCCAAAACTAAAGCCAGTTGCCCAATATATTCTGACAGCCCTCCATGGACATGTAATTGTAGCCATATCTTATATCGTGTATATCGATGAGTTCATAACTTTGCATTGTAAGCAAATTCATCTCCACCAGGATACAACAATTGTGCTCCTCACTAATCATCGGAGTGCTGTTTGCAACCCTTGGGTCCATAATGCTGCGTGCTACGCCTAACAATCACCTTGCAAGAGTAGCAATAATGGCTTTGGCATGCCCAGCAAAACATGTGGTTATTGTTTCCAATCTGTTGAACGTCCCAAAAATGGGAGAAAGAAAAAGATATCACAGTAACGTCAAGAAGAGCTGTGTTTCCACTGAAAATTAGGATAAAAGCCCGTAGAATGCTTAAATTTGACCGCCAATTCCTTAGCTTAAGGAATTCAATTAAAAAACATTATGATCACACCACTCTAAAGTCTTTTAACACTTGGACATGCGTGTTAGAGCCTAATGTTTCTAGTTTACGAAGCTTTTAGTTTAACTTCCTTAAAAACCTTCACTAAAAAATTGCGCCTTTGACGCTCAGATGTTATTTTCCCTCTCCAGCTCCTCCCATGTTCCCATCAAAAGTGAGCAAATGATGAAACCTTAGTCAAGAGCAATTTCACAACTAAAACTCTAGCAGATGCGTTTAGCAATAAAACCCAACGTAAAAGATCATGACATATGCATAATGTTCCTTGAAGTAGTACAAATAGCAGGTAGTAGCATAATATTTGTGTAACAATATTCTACGGGGATCAGAAAACAAACGAGGGACTGCCAGTTATTACTCCTTATTGATAACAGAAATAATGTAAAACGTGATAAGAATAAACTATTTTTAGAATCCATAACCACCTTTCCTTTGACTATTTAAATGGATTCTCTAAAAAAAAAAATTGATTCTCTCAATTATCTCCCTATTTTTGAATCAAGCAACTCAGTGATTCAATAAATCTATTCAAATTTGTCAACAACTAGATGATTTCTCATTATAATTTGATAAGTGACAACCAAAAAGCTTTACACACCTTTGCATTAAATTGACGACAATTAGGACATCGCTGGCCACGTTGAAAAAAGAGTTCAGCTTGTAACTGTCCTACCACTTGACGGTAGTTTATGCGTTCTTGCCAAGCCTCTTCTTGTGGGAACAAGTCACAGTACCCATCCCTTGAATGCATAAAAAATAAGATCTATATAGACCTTGTAATTAAAGAATTTTGTAAGCGCAAAAGGAATTTCAAGCTATTTTAAGAACCAAAACCTGAAATGTCCGTAAGGATCAGATTCATCAAGTGTTTTGTTGCAGCGGTAACAGAAATATTGACCACAATTACCGCAAACCATTTTATTGCAACCTTCAGTTCGGGAATAGCCATTTGACAAGAAGGGCATAGCTTAGAATCGCGATGAATTTCTTTGATGCTGAGCATTTCATTAATCATTTCACGTTCCCTCAGCTTCTGAGCATCCTTTAATTGAGATGAATTCTGGCGTTCCTGTAACAAGGACAACAATCAAGAAATTGGGGACATTAAACTATTCAGTACATGGCAGGATGATGATAACAGGTACAAGAGCTAGACAATCCTACTTAAAATATTAGGAAACTAGCAGCATTGGATTGTTCAATACAGGGCAAACTATATATCAGCAAAAAATCCCAAAAGTAAAGTTACCAGATTATCCTAACCAATTACAAGCAAAAAGATGGAAGCCTAATAGTGTTTTAAAAATACCATTGTCACATTAGAAAGGCAACTTTCCGTAGATGACAAAAAAGTTGTAGGAATTACTTGCAACTCTTGAAGTAATAGAGCAATGATAAAATAAAGATTGCACCTTATTTCAGATTATTGAAACTATAACTTACTTAAGAAGAATCTATCCCTATGGTTTAAGCAAGGAAAAAGACAAAACGAAATAAATAACCTGGAAAAAAAAAAAAACAAGATACTAGACTAAAGAACTAGATATGGACCCATAATACATACTTGTAAAATTTTGAGTTTCATGTCTAGGGTCATGCATGCTATGCCAACATGGCGTCGCTCCCTACAAAGGGTACAAAAGCTAAAGAAGCATCTAGAGCATTGAGCATGCTGTTCTTCATCTTCTATACAAGGAGTTTCACATCTTGGGCAATAAGCAACATCAGACATTGATGCAAGTGTTTTCTCCAACATCAAAGATTCCCAGCGTTCATACTCTTTATCATCAAGCAAGCGTTTTAACAGACCAGGTGGAATCATAACAGCACATTTTGAATTGGGACATTGAAGATTATTGATGGTGCCTTCTTTGACATGCATCTGGGCAAAGTCTTCAAGCATTTTAGGCAAAAATAATGCAGACACGATAATTGAGCAAACTCTGTACCTATTTGATGACAAAGAAAGTACTTAGTTCCCAAATCTGTTCAAGTTATAGACATTTGAAATGAGTGGATAGCACTCATGCATGCATGCGACAAAAAATAATATATTAAGTGGAAAGTAAAAAAATTTCAAGCCAACAGAGCAAAGGAGATTAAGACATGGAAAAAGGGTACCAATGCACTAAATTAGCTCAGGCAACATAGCATCTATCCATGTAAAACAAGATAAAAGTGATATGGGAAATGATAGTAATGCACCTGCACTGAAATTACACTCAGCTGAACCAGAAAACTGTGCAGAAGATGATTCTGACATTAACACAGTGATTTATCGAAGGAGATACAAAGGAAAACTCATAAAGTAAAACAGACACCAACACTCTAGCTCTTGAGATGGTAGCCTCTCCTACAAGACCCTCCAAAATTCATTACACTTCTCCCACTCTTATACAACGATATTATTCTCAGATTCCCAATTCTCTCTCCCCTAACAAACATGCTTGCATTTACTAATTTACCCCTTCTGTTCCTGTTGAATCAACTCATCCCATTTCTCTCTTTTCCTATTCTAATGAGTATAAACCTTAAGGGGGTTGGGCCCCTTGATAACCCCCCCAAAAAAAAAAAAAGAATGAGTGACACCTTGTCCTCAGGGTAAAAGGCAGGAATACAAATTTAAGTCAGCAATCAGCCACAAGACTTGTTAAGGAAATGGAAAAAAGTGTCACCCATCAAAAGTCATAGCAAGGTTATAATAGCACCTTAATGCAGGAAACCTAATACATGTTAAATTTAGTGAAATGAATAACAATTTAGTATTAGTCTCCTAAAAGATAGGCCATCATAAGCTAGACTACTACAAAAAAGGAGGAAAGTTAAGTGTATAAGTGAGTGAACAGGTAAGCATTATGTGTGAGTTTTCTATCACAGGCCTGGGTCCATAATTGAATTCTTACCTTAATAGTCACAAAATTAAACATCCAATATTAATGAACACAAAACACAAGAATGACACTTTCTGATTTGGCATATCATGCACATTTCAAGAGACATGTGAAAGTATCTACAGATACTAATTGGAAAGAGATGATGCACACAAAAGAACGATGATAAAAATTTTAGTATTGTTCAATACATGCACAGACAATGAGCCAAGGGGACCATCCCCCTAAACTATTGAGAACTGCTACCTGCTAAGATAAAAAATGAGCCCAAGTCTCTACATGACCAACTAGTATAGTATTTGTACCCCCACCAACGAAAAGAAAATGGAATT